GACGCGAACAAAAAGGAAAGGATTATATATTTAGATTAGAAAGAGTAAGAAAATCTAGGATCCCCTCTTCTTGTTTCCTTTGTTAATTTTTGGAAACAAATTAGATACAAAAGAAATATCCCGGAGAGCACTCTCATTTTTTAGTTCTAAAAACTGATTTTTGTTTTTTTTTTGTTTTTTTTTATTTTTTTATTTTTTTTTAAATTTTATTCTTTTTTTTTTTTGCTTTTACTATTCAAGAAATCCCAAGACTTACCAAGAACGAAATCTTGATAGAACCGCTCTGATACCACTTGATAGCAACTAGGTCGGGAATCCAAACTATAGTAAGAATTTGAGAAGTAAATGTGGAAGCAATAACAACAAGGAATTGAACAAATAGAATTAAAGAGATGAAAATAAAGGATATGGGAAAATTCAAGGAAAGAATTTTCAAGAACTTCTAAGAACGCAAGTTCTACAGCCTTGACAAGATCAAAGTAACAACGTCTTGATTTATGGAAGAAATCAAACGCCTTTACTTAAAAGCAAATCAAAACAATAGATTCGGATCTTGACCGCTTTACGAGTAACTTGAGACAACAATTAATAACTAGTATTAATCGCCTTCTAAGAATACCACAAAGGAGTCAAAGATATCACAAAAGAGAAGTAATCTTACTACCTTGAACTATGAACTAGTAAAGGTTGAAAGATAAATCTCAAAGCACAAGTACAAGGGTTCAAAAGAACTCTCAAAGTATGATATACTTAATAAATAATGTAGTGTATTATGAATGAGAAGAACTCCCTATTTATAGGAGTACTAAGGCATAAAAGTCCTTAAAATTAGGTAGGGCGGTTGCTAAGGCATACAAAGTCATTACAATTAGGTAGGGTGGTTGCTAAAGAGTAAGAAAAGTCATTAAAATTAGGCGGGGGGCGGCCAAGATACTTTGCGGCAGATTTGGGTCTTAAAACAACTAGTTTGGGCTGTTGGTTTGGACTCCAATTGGGCTCCTTTTGAAACACCCCCTTTTGGACCTCTTTTAAACGTATTTTGAGCCCTTTTTGATGGACTTCAAGGGCTGATTTGGTGACCCAATCTTCCTCCTCTTGGAAGAGGGGAATGATAGCATCCTAGGAAGCTCAACTCTACTCAAGGACAAGGATGAAACTTTGGAATCTCAAAGAGGGCCTTTAGTATTTTCCTTTTCCTACGGTAGTTGGGCTTGTTGTCCAAAGTAGTTTAGGAATTTATTTTCTTGTTTTTAGCCTTAATTTCGTGACCCCCTCCTACCTATATAAGGGGTATCTTCTTTATTTTTAGACTTAGATTATTCAGATTATTATCAATAAAAATTGTGAGATTTTTCTTGCACTATTGTGTGTGGCTACTCTTGGATTTATTCTTCAATATTCAAGACTCAACTTAAGGTGGTATGATTAAACCCTTTTTGAAATCTTAGATCACTTCTAGGTATTCAAGAAAGGTGATAAGTTTAGGCTTATTGTTGTTCTTGTTATTCTAAAGGGTCGGGTTTCACAATCTATCTCTTGTTTTTAATTTTCTACCAAAGGCGATTAGTTCTTTATTAGCTAATTATTGTTGTTAGGATTCAATTTCAAGAATAGACTTCTTGAATTCAAGAAAGGTATCTTTAATTTTCCGTCCTTTTTCGTTTCTTTATTTTCTTTTAGCTTCCGCACGTTTCTTGATTTTCTTTTGTAATTCTTGAATCCCCTATCATGTTGTTATCAAGTGATATCAGAGCATAGGCTAATAAAGATTTCAATCTTGATAATCTTGGGAGGTTCTTGAGCAACAAAAAAAACCAAAAAAAAAGAAAGAAAAAAAATGAAAAATAAAAAGAAAAAAAATCAGCCCAAAAAAGGAAAGTGAATAGGTCATTATTATTTCAAAGTTCAAGAATTCTTTAGTTTTCAAGTCAAGAAGGAAAACAAGAAGAGGGGATCCTAGTTCGTAAAGATTAAGGTAACTTCTTTCCTTATTCTTATGGGTTTTGGATTTCTTAAATTCTTTCCTTTTTTTTCTACTAACCAATTCCTATTCTTTCTAGGTTTGATCTTCCACTTTCCTTTTCTTTTTCTAACTCTAAATTCTTATCACTAAGGGTTGTGATTAGTAAGGTTTATTAATAAATCTAAAGATTAACGAACAAGAGTTGCTTTGAGTGTAAAAAGAAAGAGAGGTGAGAACATTAGAGGGAAAAAGCCAAATTTGAAAGATACATATTTCTTCTAATCTTTGTTCGAGATGTCTCAAACAGGTAGTTATGGAGAAAGGAGATGAGCTATGACTCAACAATTTGAAAGGTCGAACTTTCAGTATGGCGAATGGAAGAAACGCGATGGTAAAGTTATTTTCTAAACTAGAGCTAAAGTGATGTCTACGATTTGTGCCCTTAGAATTGACAAAGAATTTGGCTATAACTCAATTAGCACTTATATGGTTGAGAAACTAAAGTTTCCTTGTGTTGAGCATATTGAACCCTACATGTTGAGAGGCGTAAAGGTAGATAGGAGAGTCTTATTACTATTCTCAATTGGAAGGTCTGAGGATGCGATCTGGTGTAATGTGATTCCCATGAATAATTATCATATCTTGTTGGGAAAACCATGGTATGTCTATAGAAGAACTTCATATAACATGGAAAAAATAGATACTCTTTTGAGGTTAACGAAAAGAAACTCATTCTTGGACCTTTGACTCCCTCACAAATTTATGAAGATGAAAAGACCGTTAAAGAGAATATGAAAAAATATGAGAGAGATCAGAATGAGAGGAGTAAGGGAGTGCATGTCGACATCCCAAGAGAGGAAAAAGGAAAGGTTGTATTAAGTGAAGAGAATGGGGTGTCAAGTGAGAAAAAAAGCGAACTTGAAGGAAAAGAAAAGAGGAAAGACAATGAGATAACAAAAGTATGTGACGTAGAGAGAGAAAAACATGAGGCTTTGAGTGAAGAAAAAGAAGAAAACTTTAGTGAGAGAAAAGAGGCTAAAGGTGAGGAAAAAGTTAGTCTTGAGATAAAAGCCAAAGAGAGTGAAAGTAAGAAAATATGTTCTTTACTTTCTAACCCGCTAAATCTTTCTTGTTTTAGTTCTTATGTTTTTGTGCAGCCACACGTTGAAAGACCTTCTAAAAGGATAGGTGAGGCGCAAGAGATGGTAGCAAAGGATCCAATTAGATTCCAACATGCATTTAGCAAAATCATTTTTTGTTGGATGGTGGATGATAAAAGCTTGGTTAATTTCTTTATTGTTGAACCTTTTGACTCTTTTGATCCTTATTTACAGGTTTATAACATAGAGTTCCCTAAAGGCATTGCCAAGTTAGAGCCATTGCATAAAAGAATAAAAGATGATGTTATTCCATTAGTAAATAAGTCCATGTATGGTATGTATAATTGGTTTATTTACATTCTTGGCCTTTATAGAACACCTAAGGTATTTTTGGAGGTAATGAACTATACTCTAATTTCTTATGTTGGTGACTTTATAATTTTTGTGGATGATGATATTTTAATGCATATCAAGTCACTAACTGTAATATCTAAGTTCAAGTGCAAGAGTAATTTGTTTCCTTTT